TTCTATGATTCATTCTATGATAACACACCAGTGTTTTGGCTTCTGCTGAGTAGTGCTCACACAGTGCTCGCACTCCAAAGGCTAGTAGGCTGGAGGTGGGCAAGAGGAAGGGACATAGCCAGAACAGCTGATCCAATCTGGCCAAAAGGTTATTCCATACCACGTGATGTTGTGTTCAGAAATAAAAAGATAAGAGAAAGGGGGAGCAGAGGGTACATTTGTTATTATGCATTTGTCTTCAGGAGCAACTGCTATGGGTTCAGCCCTACTTCCCAGCATGACAGGAAGCAGGGAATAAATGTTTGTGTTTTCCTTTGCTTCTGCCCACAGCCTTTGTTTTTTCTTTATTAAACTGCCTTAAACTCTGAACGCATGAGTTCCTTCTCTTATTTTCTCTGCTCCCTGTCCTGCTGAGGAGGAGAAGTGGTAGAGGGGCTTGGTGGTTACCTGACAGCCATCAAGGTCAACCCACCACAGGATGTGATTTTACACATCCTCTCCTTCCGTTATTTTATCACTGCTGTACACATATATGCCCTGAAAAGGTTATTGCTTAATTTTAGGGACTTTTGGTCAAAAGTACAGAATGTTTATGACAAGAATGTCCTGGTGTCCCTGAAACAAATCCGTAAAGCTCAGGGCACCTCTATAGTTCTGCCTGCTTCTTTGTTGCTGCTGTTTCTGTAAACTCTAAAGAGTAATCCAAGAATGATATAGGACCTTTACCTCCCTCTGAAATTTCTGCACTAAAATTATACCATTGTTAGTAAATATGACCCCAAATGTCTCTTGTTTGCATATTCTTGCTTTTCATTGTTGTCTGAAGTTTTACATAGCTTGGTCCATGAAGTCTTCATGACAGACGTAGAAATAAAAACCAGGGAACTGTCTTCCCTCTCTTCTCTCCCTCTCACTCATTTGAATGCTTGGCCTTGCCTTTGACAGGTTACAGATGAACATTAAAGTGGGACAAGACTGGGCTCTGCTGGCAGATCTTGGAAATTGCCTCATGAACATGCCTTGAGGAGATTTTAGCACCACAAAGAAACACTCCAAAATTAATACAGAGGTGATTTGCTTGCTTTTAAAGGACACCATACCGGCGAGAGTCTGTTCGTGATGGTGAGGACATGTATGGAGCTGCAGACTGCAGAAGGACACAGAATAATCTTAAATTAATTTTTATTAGAATGGTTTTAGACCCTGAATATAAACAGTGCTGAGATCAGAGACAAACCAAGACTAGGGCAGGAAAATAATATCCCACTATTAGTTTTATTATTTAAGCAGAGCCAAATAAAATCCTAAATATGTTTTAAAAATAATTAAGTCTAAACAAACACAAATGTCTGCAGTCATTCCCATAATTAGTGACTTAAGCACACAGTTTTGATGTTGTAGAAAAGAGGATGCTGCAGGGTCACCTGAGATCACCTGCCCAATATATTGCCTTCTGTAGTCCTATGTCTTGGTCCTAAATCTTTCAGCTTAGTCTTATGTTTCTCATTCCTTTTTTTCTGGGACACTAACAGCTGTTCCCAGCTGAACAGGCTGTATCAGAAATTATGTGTTCTTCTGGGATATCTGAAAACAAAAGAAAATAATTGGTGACTTTCCTAGTTGGATTATCTGGTTTCAAAGGATTGTGTCCTGTACTTACAGTCTGTTTTTAATATCAAGACAGACTAAAGTGACACCATTGAAGAGCAACATGAACAAGATGTTTACTGCAGGTACTTGGTGATGTTGCTGACTGTGAGTTGACCTTGTGTGTGAGAAGAGTAGGCAAGGATGGGCTGTATGTGCCCCAAACATAAATTGTTTTTTTCACATGCCTGTCTTTCCCTGTATTCCGTCAGTGTATGCTGGTATATACAGCCTCACTGGCACTTTTCCCTCTTGGGAGTTACATCATACCTGGAAAAACTTGTGGGGAAAAAAAAAAAACAACTTTATGTCTCCATTTAGTTATGTGTAAGGGAAGGAGATAAAGGTATCCTGTTAGCTGTCACTGCCGGTCCCCACCCCCTTCAGACAGACTCCAAACTGAAGGCATTTTCTTACTCCCAGACGAGGCCTTTTCACAGTCAGGTCACAAGCACTTTGAAGAAGCTTGCAAGAGAGTAGTCAGAAGAATGCAAATTTAAGAGCTCAGCATCCAACTTCCCTCCCTTTCAGAGCAACTGAGACAAGTGCTGCACAGACCAAAGAGGATGTCCAGGCTACAGACAGAAACAGCAGTCTGTTATAAGCAAATCACTCCCAAAGCAAACCTGTTACTGTGGGCTCCAGGTCTGTTTATCATCCTGAGACAGAAATAAAAAGAGTGGGAAGGAAAGCAGCATAAACACTGCCATGAAGTTACTCATTTTAAAAATAACTGTATTTAAAATCAGCTAATAAAAGAAAAAATATATTAGTTTTTCGTCTATGGGAAAAAAATTATAAATCCAGGGATCATGGATACACTAGGAGGTAATCAGACTATCACGCAGAAACAGCAGTGGCAGAGGAATGAGGTGGCCTCATGGCAGCCTTTCATGCTGACTGGGTGACAAAAATGGGAGGGCGGAGACATGGGTGGTATTGTTTTTGTACGAGCTTGTATCGTTGTGGATACAGGGGATCCACAATGATACATTGCCCACGAGACCTTTACAAAAACCCGCAGGTGCATAAGCATTGTGGGAGAGTGTTAAGACAGCTACAGACATTTCTGCAGCACAGTGGGCATGTTCGGTCGTGGGTTGTGTTGACAGGCCTCGTACTCTAGAATTTATTTGCATCACCTGAGAACGGAGCCTGCCCTCTCTGGAAAACAAGCTGGGAGATCTGGAGACGTTGAAGTCATTTCCAGCAAAGCAGATTGACTGCAGATGCACCTAAAACGTATCAGACTATGTCAAGGAGATAATCAGTATTTTTTTCCTGATGTGATAGTGTTTGCAATCGACTACAAAATGGTTCTTTATTAATGTGATAGAAGTGTTTGGTAGAAAAAGAATTCTGACATGTAGCAGGTATCTCTCAGAGGCACTATAGAAAACATGTTGGGGTTTTCTCTCTTAAATAAACCTCCTGTGTGCACTGACTAACTCATGCCCGCGAGCACGAAGGTTTTCTCTAATCCTTCTCCACACTGTCTCACTGCAGTTCTTCCTAACGGATATCAAGGGTTTGCCTGAGGACAGACAACTGATTCTTCTGGACTCTCCTTAGGTGGATTACTGTTAACATATCAGAAAATTGAATGGGATCCTGAAAGTCTATTCAAGATTGCTGGCCTGCCATTTAAGGGAAAACAAATGGATTTGGTTTAGTTCAGTGCCACAAAGGCGAACCACCTACATGAAAAGACATGTGACTGACAAAAACAAAGCAAATGTTATTTGATGATTACCTCCACGAGTTACAGAAAGGAATGCTTCACAATACTTAGAGTACAAGACTGACAGTAAGGAAGCTCTGGTTGTGGAGGAATTATATTTCTAGACAACAACATCCTCTACCACTTTGGGTATGTCTACATGGTTTCTACATTTACAAAATTAGAATAACAGGTAATATGAAAGAAATAACATGAAGACTAGAGAAAGGTTGTAAAATAACCTTGGAGTGAAATGTGGACAATAAAACTAAGTAGCGAAACACTTGGGGAAATTATTTTATAAATGCTACAGGTTATACAATGGGGTTTCAAGCTGGTTTTCTGCCAAAGCTCTTCAGTCAGAGATTGAGGGGTCTTTGGGATTCGAGATACAGTAAACATTACTTAAGGTTCTGCTTATTGAAGTCAGCTGCAGTACATTCCTTTTCTCAGCTTATGATACAACACTTTGTCACTGTGAGCAACAATAAGCTGACTTTCGGCGATGGCACAAAACTTACGGTAATAGGTAAGAAATTTTTGTTTTCTCTTTTAAATCACTTCAAATCCCAGGTCTGTTCTTTAGAAAACTTCTCTTCAACCTTATTCTCCTTCACATTATTAAACTGGTGTTTTTCTGATGTGTTAAGAACCCAGCCTACTCTGGAGAATAGACTAAGATTAGTACTCTAGGTCAGGGCACACATTTCACTTTGGAGAACTGTGTGAAGGCATTTTCAGTGGGTCGAAAGATCTCCATAGAAAGAATTAGGATGAGGAATGGGTTAAAAAATATGCGTATATCATAAATACATTTTCTTAATAAATCAACATCTGCAAAAATCACTATTCCCCAAAAGTAAAGCTATTCTCCATATGCTAGCTCTCCCCAAGTTACAGGTGATTAAGAACAAGTCAGTGAAAGGCTATGTGTCTGAAAAGAAGTGAGTTACAGTTACACGTTGGACAGGTATAGAAAACAAAATCAAGACTCTACAAACAAATTACTTTGGGTCTTTTCAGGGTAAAATAACTGTGTGTTATCTCAGAGAGCTGGTAAAGACAAGTGCTAGCATTTTTAGCTGACAAAGCAAAAGCCACAAATAAATACTGAACTTTATCATAAGCAATACTAACAGCTCTCTGCAGCTGCTTAATTCCTTTTCGTTACAGAAAACAACTCTCCACAGCACAGCAAGTTTCTTTCCACAAAACAGGCTCATCAGGATGGTGATAAAAAGATCATTTAGGACAATGTCCTTACTATTTCAGAATAGATGCTGAAGGACACTGAAAACTACAGAAACAGAATATGCGGTTCATTTCAAATAGAAGTGTCTCTCAGGGAATGTTTCTCTCTGGGTCACACTTCTGGGCTTTGACTACCTCCAAATCCAGAGGAAAACAAGGCTGCTTCTACTACTCATAAAAATGATGGTGTTTTCTTCTTGCTCTATTGCTCCTGGAGTCAGAAGAACTGGTGCCTCGGGCTTTTGTACTACACTAGTTCACTGCAAAGTTAAATGATTACAAGTGGTACAATTCAATCTCCATAGGAAAAAAGTGATCAGCAATTGTTTTTGAAATCCAGTGTGATTCTGAGGTACCTGAGCTGATGAAAATCAATGCACTGATCTGTCATTGATCACAGTCAAGTATGCAGCTAACTGTAATAATCATAGCTAAGATAACATTGGGAATAAAATCAGGGGCTTCCATCCAGGGAAGGAGAAAAGGAGCAATGTTTAGGAATTGCTACAATGGGAACAGTGGAACAGGGTCCTTTGACACATATACAGTACATTTATTTATCTATCTATTTATTTGTTTCTTCATTTATTAGAATTTGAAAACCAAAGACATTTATTTTACTACAGAATAATATTCATGATGTTGAAAGGAAATTAATAAATTAAGGAAATGATGTTGTTTAGTTGAAAATAAGGAAAGAAAATTAATCTGTCTGCACATGGGAAATATTTTCTAATAGTACACCTAGATAAATAGATAGATGTCCTCTAAAGAAGTGGTGAAAGCTGCAACGATTCACAAAAGCATGAAGCAAAAGCACTCTGGAAGGGGCATTTCTGAGATTGACCTCACCTGGTTAGACACACAGATGTGGTGGTGTGCCCTTACATAACCTTCTCCTTGTTAGGGGACCATAAATTAATATACTCTGTGTTTCTTCTTTTGCTGATACCGCATGAGGGGAGGGTTAGTCCACAGGTTTGGCTCAGAGGACTGATAGTAGCGGGGAGGTTTTCCTCCTGCTCCAAAACAATGTGAATAATGAAAGACTGTACTTTGGCAGTGGGACAAAACTCACGGTCCTAGGTAAGAGACAAGTCAGATCTTTGTGATATATGTGATACTGGTTTTGGGGATAAGACCACTCTTAATTAATAGCAGAATAATGATCATTCGTCATACAGTCATGAGGACAGGATAAATGCTTTATTGGTGGCTTATTAAAATGAGATGTGTTAATATGGAAATGTAGGATTTGCAGACATGATTTTTGAGATCCTTGTGTCTGTTGGCTCTGTCTTCTCTTACTGGGAACTTCATGCAGGGAGGAATGAAGAAACAGTTCTGTTTCCTCCCATTCTCGAAGAAAACACTATAGAGGTTGGGAGTAAAAGATCCTTCTTTGGTCTGCGAGAAGAGCATAATGACACTGTGGATTATAGTCTGATTGTGTACAGCTGTGCTTTTAAACTGCCAACTTCTGGAGTTATGTGCTCAGAGTTACTGGTAAGTAGCTGGGATTAACCCCAGTGCTCAGTGTGGCGGAGACCTGAAAAATTCCCTTGCATTGAGGATATGTAGCCTACATGCAGATGATTTGAAAATGAGAGTAGGTGTGAAGGATAACAAGAAATCGTGAAGCTGACCTTGCCATGATGGGAATGGAAGAAATGTGATACTTTTTCTCTTAAGTGAGTGAAGAATGTGTGACAGGGAATGGTTTATGCATGGAAGTGATTAAGCACTGTGTCAGTGTCTGCCATGAACACTGTGGAAGGTCAGAACAGAATGGGCTGTGGATAGCACTTATATCTGATTCTCTGATGTTGACCAATCTCCTTATTCCATCAAAATAAGCATGCTCATCTTCTGGCTTTCATTGTCTTTTCAGTAGTTTTATATTTTTTTGTCTGCCTTTTTCACCTGCCTTCATCTTTGGTTTTTGTTTGGTTGGTTGGTTCGTTTGTTTGTTTTGGTCTGTTAAATCTATCTTTTTTTCTTTGGTGTCCTCCCTATCTGTTTCCATGTCTACACTCATAAGCCATTTAGGCAATGAGCCGATGAATGTATGTCAGAGATAATTTTAGGATACGGAAAAAAAACATAAAGACAAGTACTAGAAGTGGCCAGTCTCCTCATGAAAGCAGACCAGTGCCAAACCTTCTAGGTTGTTATCTCCATTACTATCTAGCTACCTCTTCTGAAGTCTGCACAAATTCACACGTTTTCACAGAAGCAGTGCAGGGATCTTTGTAGAGTAAGCACTGAGTGAAAAAGGCACGCTTCGAGGGTCTTTGCCTAGCTTCTGAGTAACATCTCAGTGTTGAATTTTATGTCCTTTTAACGGTAGAAGTCTGTTGCCTCTAGTCTTATATGTAGGATTTAAACAGGTGACATGTTTTGTGGGTGTACAGAATCTTGCACCATTTTAGGCTTCTTATACCTAGGATAACCTAAATAATAAATAACATAAAGAAACATTTCACGGTCTTAATAAGGATGGCAAGTTAAGACCTAAAGCAGAACTAGTCCCAGGCAGATTCAGGTTTCTTCACTTAAAACGGTAAGAAAGGTCAGCTCCTTCCTTTCAACTCATCTCTTAAACGAGGGCATCCAGTTAAGGTATCACATGGCAAGTATAATTCCAAACACTGCAAGAACCATCATGTCTTACTACACTTTCAGAAAGGTAACAGAGTCTGTTGAAGATGCTTGTGCCTTATAACACAGACTCTTTCCTATTAGCACAATATTACAAATACAGGTCTTACAAAACTACTGGGTACTTTTCTGCACACCTGTTTGCTCCTCTTTTCAGCTTTCTTATTTTTCTGACAGAGACAATACTAGAAATTCACTCATGCATTTCTGTAGCCAGAACTTTTATGTTCATGTATCATGAATGAAGACAAATGCTTTCAGTTTCCTGGTGTCTATCTATCCAATAAATATTGTCTAATAGACAGTTGTTAAAAAGCTGGATATATCAGGAGTCAAATTTGAAGTAAAATTTAAATTTTACTTTAAATTTAGTAAAATTTAAAGAGGTTTCTGATTAAAGACAGTAATGGAGGCCCTGGGCCATATTTCTTCCCATTTCAGAGAAGAATGATGAAATCATACCTCCAGCTGTAGCCGTCTTTTCCCCATCAAAACTAGAGATCCAACAGAAGAACAAGGCCACGCTGGTATGCCTGGCCTCTGGTTTCTACCCTGACCACGTGAATCTCATCTGGAAGGTGAATGGTGCTAAGAGGACAGAAGGCGTGGGGACAGTCGAGTTTTCCACATGGAATGGGAGTACCTACTCATTGACCAGACAACTAAGGATCTCAGACCAGGAATGGTTCAACCCTTCTAATCGTTTTGAGTGTGTTGCCCATTTTTTTAAGAATGAAACACTGGAATCGATACACAAATTCATCTATGGTGATGCTGGTGAGTAAAAAATGTGTATCACCAGCTGTACCTAGTAGAAATCACAAATCGAAAGGATGTGGGTTATGATGTGAAACACATCTATATACAGCTTCTGTACAGGGTGTTGTTAAGGCACAAATATATATGTAAAATATGGAGGGGTTTGCATATGTCTTTTCATATTCCTGGGCCTCTGTATCTACATTATCATTAGACATTCCAGTTTTTCAAAGGTTTCCTCAGACATTCACTGAGAAATCTCTTTAATACAGTAAAATGTATAGTATAGTAAAATGATTCAGGCAGTATATTGTAAACTAAAACTTCTAAAATTTGTGTTCCATTTGCATAGAAGAAAATAATGACGTTCAGCTCATTTTTGTTTTTCAGGTTGTTCACTTACAGAAGGTATGTGTGTCCTCCCACAAGCCAATATCTATATGTATTTTGATTCCAGTTTTATTTATGCTACGTGTGTGAGATTTCTACTGGAAGAATAACTTGTACTTCCTCATCTAAGTGGTTTGTATGTTAGATTTAAAAAAAAAAAAAAAAAGAAGAAAAAGAGAAAGAAAATACTGTGAGAGGAGTGTATGCTGTATTTAGCTGTGTTTTGGTTTTTTAGCTTTTCTTTATGTTTCCCTTTTGAAATAACAGAAGAAACTTTGGGACCTTCTTATAGAATGTAATTTCCTCTTTTTGTCATCTTCACAAGTCCTTAACGCTGCCTTCTGTTGGGAAGCTGCTTGCTCAGCCATGAAAGAATAAAATCATACCTAACCGAGTGATTATAACATCAAGATTCAGAATCCAGAATTCTGAATATTTCTTACTATCAAATTCAGAATACTTCTCATTACAGGTCACATTCCCCTTCAAACAGTAAGGATACCCATATTAAAAATTATGTTTCTTTCCCTTATGTATACAGATTTACACAGTCTTGTTTTTCACCAACTTCTTCAATGCTTCAGAAATATCAAGGCTGAACAAAAATCAGTCTGGTGCCTCAATACTACTGCTGTTCCTTAAGAGTGAAAAATCTAAAATGATGAAAGTTCTACATACCGTGGTTTTTTGGGTTAAAACTTCCCTGATATATCAGCATTGCTCACAAAGCCACTGACAATAAGGAGTGAAAATATAAATCCTATCTTGTGATTCAGCTTCATCTGAGTTCCTAAGAGGGGAATCACATGTACAGCCTAGTTTTTCAGTAGGTGTGGCAACACAATGGGTAAACATTCCCAATTAGGATATACTTTCTTAGCATAAAGCCAATCTCTGTATTTCCTAGGCTCGCTTTCTCTTTTGGATCTCTGAATTACAGTGCTCTTTCCCATGCCCTGCTATCTCATGTCAACAGAGTCATTAATTTGGCTCTGGTTCCTTTGTGTCACTTAGCTAAAGATTTCAAGGGTTTTATTTGACTGAAGCCAAACTAGGTCTAGCCTGTCATGATGATGATGATTCAATACACAAATTATGTTTTATTTGCAGAGTCCTACTTGCGATATGGAAATACTCTGAAGATCACTTACCTCATTCTCTGTGGCAAAGCCTTTCTCTATGCAGTTTTGGTGAGCAGTCTGGTGTGGACAGCCAAGGTAGGCTAGTGTGCCACTTGACAACTGAGCTTATACATGGGATAAATCTGGACAGATTTACAAAGAACAGTGAGATAAATCTGAACAAATGGGAGAAGTTTAACTAACTACCAGGAAATTATTTTTATCACTAAGTTTCTCATATGACTGAAAGATATTCCCAGTGGGAGTAGTGGAAACCTCAGCACTCGTTCCTTTAAAAGCAGGACTGGGAGATGTATTTGAAATGTGACCTGGTAGAGTTGAGTGTGAGTATGAACACAAGTCTCAAATATCTTTTTGTGTTCTTTTTCAAGGATAATAGATGGAGTAGGTTTGTACTTTACTGGTTCACAATTGTAGAATCACAGAATGGTTTGTATTAGAATGACCCTCTAAAGATTATCTGGTCCAACACCCCTGCCATGAAGAGTGACATCTTTCACTAGAGCAGGTTGCTCAAAGGCCCATCCAACCTTACTTTGAACACTTCCAGAGAGTGGTATCTGCAATTTCTCTGAGCTACCTGCTCCCGTGGGTCACCACCCTCACTGTAAACATCATTCCTTATGACTAATCTAAAGCTATACTGTATCAGTTTAAAACCACTGTCCCTAGTCCTGTCAATACAGACCTTGGTGAAAACTCTATCTTTCTTATAAGCCCCCTTGTATATTGGAATACCACAAGAAGGTCTCACCAGAGGCATCTTTTCTCCAGGCTGAACAACCTCAACTCTCTCAGCCTTTCTTCTTAGGAGAGGTGTTCCATCCATCTGATCATATTTTTGGCCCTGATCCAAAAAGTCTGTCACTCTTGTACTGGGAACTACAGAGCTGCATGCAGTACTCCAGGGGGGGTGTCACCAGAGTGGAGTCAAGGGGCAAAATCCCCTCCCTCGCCCTGCTGGCCCCACTTCTCTTGATACAGCCCAGGATGCAATTGGCTGTCTGGGCTGTAAGTGCACACAAATTTTTCATCCACCTGGATCCCCAAGTCCTTATCCTCAGGACTGCTCTTAAGCCATTCATCTTCTGGTCTGTACTGATCCTGGTGATTGCCCCAACACAGCTGCAGGACCTTGCACTTGGCCTTGTTGAACTTAATGATGTTCATATGGGCCCACTCCTCAAGCCTGTCCAGGTCCCTCTGGATGTCATGCCTTCCCCCAAGCATATCAACCCTATCACTCAGCTTGGTGGCATCCACAAAAAATGAGTTTGCATTCCATCCCACTATCAATGACACATTGATGAAGGTATTAAATGGTATTGGTCTCAATACAGACCTTTGAGGGATGCCACTCATTACTGGTTTCCACTTGGACATTGAGCCTTGGATTCTTTGTAACTCTTTGGAATGGTCATCCAACCAATTCCTTACTCATGTAACCTTCCATCCATTAAACCCATCTCTCCAATTTAGTGGCAAGAATGTTGCTCGGGGACTGTATCAAAGGCCTTACAGAAGTCCAGGTAGATGATGTCCGTAGCTCTTCCCTTGTCCACTGGTGCAGTCAGTCCATTATAGAAGGCCACCGGATTAATCATGTAACACACAGAGTTGTGTAAAGATATGAGTTCAGTATGTAAGTAAATAATTTATATAGGTTAAGACACTTTCTTGGTACAAAAAGGGGAGAAAACATGGAGATACAACATGGTCATTTCTGTTAATACTCTCAGGAGACACAATAGTTGGGACACTGATGAATATGGTCTATTTTTTCCTAAATTATTGTATTTGTTCCTCTTACCTGTTGGGGTTTTTTAAATTTGTTTATTCTGTTTGTTTTCAATTAGGTTGGTGGCAAGCTGTATAGAGAATAACAAAAAGGGGAGAAAACATGGAGATACAACATGGTCATTTCTGTTAATACTCTCAGGAGACACAATAGTTGGGACACTGATGAATATGGTCTATTTTTTCCTAAATTATTGTATTTGTTCCTCTTACCTGTTGGGGTTTTTTAAATTTGTTTATTCTGTTTGTTTTCAATTAGGTTGGTGGCAAGCTGTATAGAGAATAA